ACATGATATTACTGGCGAGTCAGTAGGATCCCTACATGATATTACTGAGTGAGTCAGTAGGACCCACACGATATTACTGGCGAGTCAGTAGGACCCACACAATATTACTGAGTGAGTCAGTAGGACCCACACGATATTACTGGCGAGTCAGTAGGACCCACACGATATTACTGGCGAGTCAGTAGGACCCACACGATATTACTGGCGAGTCAGTAGGAACCACACGATATTACTGGCGAGTCTGTAAGACCCTCACACTCCTACTGATAAGTCAGTAGGACACACATTATTACTAGTTAATTAGTAGGACATGCACAATATAACATTGTGTATTTTTGTCTCCATAACAACCAAATTTATACTCAAAATTAATTTTGAAGGTTTGGAATATGCAAAGGCGAATTATTTTTTTTTTAAACTTGAAACATGAAAATAAGGTAAACCAGACTAGTGAAGTCTTGATTTGTTGTTAATAACTTTGTCATTTCTATTAGTCAGTTGACAAAACATGGTTGTATTTTTCTTTAACTCACACCAAAATCAGTGCCGGAAATCAGTGGTTATCCAAATAACTTTATCACAATTGGAGATGATTACTAAAATTAATACTATGACTGCAAGTACAATTTACAAAACCTATGATTTGAAGCATGGCATTTTGAAGTTTATTTTCAAAACGTAACTTGTTATGAAACCATCTAGACATCTTTGTTTTGAAATATTACTCATTAGCCTGTAATTTATTTTCACTGGAATGTTGCAAACATACAAACAAGTGTATGCTAATAAGTTATGTAAATTTTGCTAATTAATATGCACAGATTTATACAACAAATAAGTCATATTTTGTCTTTTTGGAATTCATCATTAGAGGAAGTATTAAACTAATTAAAACACTATTGGCTGAATTATTTAATTATAGCAGTAAATTTAAAATATTTCAAAATCTTCACAACATACTGAAAATACTAAAATAGTATGCATTGGTCGTTGCATATAACTGAAAAACCAAAGCATGTCTGCATATAATTAATTAATTTCTTTTATTCTTTGTGGAATTAATGTAAAATTTGCATCAAACCATATTTATCCAAAATAGATCCTGACCCTGTGAAGTGATTTCAATCCTCTTAAGTGAGGTTAAAAATAGACAATGCCAATCAGGTGTTGTGAATTACTGTTTTCGATGGAATTATGTTTCGTTGAAAACAGCATTTTATATTTTGCTAACCAATAGCATCACAAAATGCAGAGGACACTTTCAACAGAACAAGATTATCACCGCATCAAAATCCAGAAAATGCACGTAATACAAATAAACAAGTCACTAGCAAAAAAAAAATAACTTGTTCACTTATTTGCATTAGAATTTCTAGAAATAGACATTTGAATGTATGATCATTTTGCAAATCATTTGACGCAATATCAGCAGTTGTATCAACGTATCTTATAGATCCACAATGCAAAACAATTATGAAAGTAAACACACTGAGTCCAGATCAATTTTACTTTGTATGTTATGTACAACTTTCATATTACCGGTAGTTTTAGTTGGACTATTTCACTCTGTACAGTTTTTCTGGAAATCATCACCTCCTTTTTTAAGTTATCATCCTATAATATCATCATTATAGATCCACAATGCAAAACATAACAGCAAAAGAATTTTCTCTGGATTTTATTTTCCCTGATTTACATCTCCCTTGAAAATAAATTTGAAATGAAAAAAAAAGGAATGATAACTATGAAAGTGAACACACTGTGTCCACATCAATTTTACTTTGTATGTTATGTGTGAATAAATTGCTATACTGTAAAGGATACGAACAACTTTCATATTAGTTTTAGTCGGACTATTGCACTCCGTACAGTTTGTCTGGAAAATCATCACCTCTTCTTTTACGTTATCATCCTCTTCATCTCCACCCAAAGTCATCGGCCTGGATTCCTCCTCATTTTCGTTCGTCTCATTCTAAACATAACGAGAAAAGTGCAAATGTAAGTCAGGAGGAGTATTCATTATAGCTGCCAAGGGGCCAGTTCAACATAACTGCATCTGATGTACATTTGACAACAGGATTCATGAACAACACTGGAAAACAAACAGCGGTAAGTAAATGTCCACATACCTTGTGTGCAAAACAACAACAAAAAGTATCGCAGAATGTCAAGTTCATCGGTGTTAGGGGCATAGTGGACAGGAAGCAATGTAACCACACCTGTACCAAAATACCTGCTTTTGTTACATTTAGGACATGTTCACAAACAATAGTAAGGGGTGTATTCCATTCAGGATGGGGTATGTATAATAAAGCATTATGGAAGGGGTTATTTAATTAAATGTGCCAATAACTTAGGGGGTCCTTTATTTAGGATATGTCCACAAACAACTAGAGAGGGCGGTATTTTATTCAGAATGTATTCAATAATAGTTCCTGCAGCAGAGGGGTAATTCAACATTTGCATAATAAAGCTTTATGGGGTGGAGGCAGAGTTATTTTTATAAATATGTCAATGACTTAGGGATAATTTCATTCAGGATATGTTCAATAAAAATTCAAGGGGGCCTCAGGGTGTGTTCAATACAGCAATAGAGGAGGAACTGTTTAGTATTGATACCTACATGTACCTTCACTACTTTTTCTATTTTAATGTTACCAGAAACACACTTACTTGGAAGTATCCAAAAAATTCTAAAGAATAATCATCCAAGTTCCACATTACTGTTTTATGAGTAGTGGGTAGAGGTTTGGATTGATGTCTGTGGTGAACCATTTATGGACTGTCGTCAGTTCTTGGAACTAATAAAGAGTCACTTATTTTTAAATGCCACGGGCATTTTAACGAAATGGCGAAGGCATTTCAAGCGAGGGCAGTGCGGCCCAAGACTGTTATAGCATGTAAACGACCTCATGCAGCATTACGTGGAAATTGCCCGGTGACGTTCCTATTGAGACTTGTCACTCAAACTACTACTACCGTAAAAACTCGATTAATTCGCAGTCTCTATTAATTCGCGCACCAATTTAATTTTTGTACGCTAATTTTTAAATGTATCCTTTTAATTCGCGGCGTTCAAAAACATGTTTAAAATTGTATCCTATTAATTCGCGGGCCAGAATAAAGTAGATAACTCAGAATATATTGCATGCAGACATTACAAATATACATTTTGTTTGAGTTTTTATGTTACCAGTACTTGGTGTAGCCGCAATCGCAGTTAGCAAGCAGTTTAGGTTCGGTTC